CTTAAAGTTCTGCATAATTAAGGGCGTGGCCACTGGAGTGACAGGTGGATTGCCGCTGCTGTCACCACCGTCGAGCTAGGTGGGCGTGGTTTCAGCAACCAGCTCCCGCCTCTTTGCCGCCTCCGCCCACTTTTGAGCGTCAAAAACGCTCTTCTATGGTGTAGAGCTGTAATATTTACGACAGCGAATTCCTCTCACTCAACTGTAGGGGGCTCCAAAGTCACAAAAATACACAAAACAATGGTTTTGCCTGCAGTATGTTGCCTTAAGGAACTGTTTACACAAAAATAATTATTCTGCTCCTTTTAAAACTTCTTATTGGGAAACGATGCATTGTATATCCCTTTGTTTACAGTGTCATAAGGAGCTAGGAAACATGTCAGAGGCCAGAAATTGGGTCCAATTAGCTCTGAGCACACCAGCAGGAGCAAATGAGGTAAACATGCTCTTCATAGTTTATTGCTGATTTGAAGTTTTGTGTTTCATATTGTTTTGTTTCTTCAGGATTCTGACAGCGCAGCTTTACAGGAGGAGCTGAAGGCTTTGATTGACAGTACAACTGACCAATCGAAGCAGTATGAATAATTAGGGTGGGGTCTAATGCTGTCATCTAATCTTTTTACATTTTACCTGGTATGTGCTCTATTTATTTAATGTTGTTTGCAGATGTGCATTGTTAAAACATATTTTCAGTAATCTCAAAAAAAAAAAATCGAAATATTATATATTAAAATAGTTTACTATTGTTCACATATCTCCTTCACAAAACACTGCATTTCATTCCTTACAAAAGATGAAGGTAACTTGATGATTAATGATCAAAAATCATTCCTAATTTTTATATTTAAACATGCTGTGAAATTAAGCATTTATTTGTTTAATCAATTACAAAATGACTGACGTTTGATTTTGTTTTGACATGAAGTGAATTCCTGAAATATGACAATAAAATGGCACAATTATCTCGGATTTTGCTGTTTTTCAATGGTTTTAACTGATGGTATCATACCAAAAATGCACTTTAATTAGTTTAACAGATAAAACACTTTAATTCCGAGTAGTTTATGTACAAGAAAAAGGTTCAGTCCAGACAAAACAAACAAATATAACATAAGAGACATAAATATATATATAAATAACAAATAGTATAGAGGCGGCTGACATTACAGTAAAGAGCAAATAGTTACACCAGCTCAAATCATTCAGATCCATCAATCTGCATATATGTAAATAAACCATGAATTTCACTCTGAAGGATTCATTCTCTTTCCAAAATCTTTTCGATTCATTCCAGACTAAACAATATGTGTCCACATTTACACATTTCAAAGGAGTCTTTTCTCTGGCAGATGGTCTCATATCACGCACTCAGGTTCTCTGGTTGGTATCATTTCAGTCTTTAGCGTCACCCACTCCATCAGCATTAATGGCAAACATTGCCTCCGCCTCAGGCAAACATGGAGAGTCATAGATCTTACATATCCGCGTCTCTCCTCGACCCTTTCGCAGGTATAATCTACAAGAGAGACGGAGAATTGAGATATTATTAATCTATAGAGTATGAGAGTATCAGACAGCAACCATGATCATCATCCAATGAGAAGTTTTACCGAGTAGTCGAGGCGTGTGCTAGAATATTTCCTCCAATCGGCTTCTTGGGATCTGCTGAAAACATGGCCGCTCCATCCACCTGCGCTACCACCTGGTTAGTGATGACGACGGCCACACCAAACTACAAACCAGATTTAAAGAACGCAACATATTTAGAAAATATTTCCATGAGCTCATATCATACACGGGTGTATCTAAAAAAATTAGAACATCGTGAATGTTTTTTTTTTTTGTAACTTATTTCAAAAAATTTAACGTTCATATCTTCTAGATTCATTACATGTAAGGTAAAACATTTTAAAAACTTTTTTTTTTTAAATTTTGATTATTAGAGCTTACAGCTCATGAAAGTCAAAAATCCAGTATCTCAAAATATTAGAATATTTCCTAAAATCAATCCCCAAAAAAAAGAAAAGGATTTGCAAAACAGAAAAGCTCAAGTTCTTTAAAGTATGTTAATTTATGCACTCAATACTTGTTCTGGGCTCCTTAAGCACAAATTCCAGCACCAGTGAGGTGTGGCATGGAAGCGATCAGCCTGTGGCACTGCTCAGGCACTATTGAAGCACAGGTTTCTTTAATAGCGGCTTTCAGCTCATCTGTATTGTTGGATCGACTGTCCAAATCAAGCACAGTAATATCTTGGTCAGCAAACCACTTGGAAGTGGTTTTGGCACTGCGGGCAGGTGCTAAGTCCTGCTGGAAAAGGAAATCAGCATCTCCATAAAGCTTGTCAGCAGATGGAAGCATAAAGTGCTCCAAAATCTCCTGCTAGACGGCTGCATTGACTCTGGACTTGATAAAACACAATGGACCAACACCAGCAGAC